AAAAAAAAAAAAAAAAAAAAAAAAAAAAAAAAAAAAAAAAAAAAAAAAAAAAAAAAAAAAAAAAAAAAAAAAAACTTACCAAAGACTTGTAACCAAGAAAATATTTCCCATCCAAGAAACAAAGAAACCATCCAAACAAAAACAATTCTGCTAGTATCAATGGTAGATCTAGAAGTAGCGCTAATCAATCTAGTAACACTTAATCCAAAGAAATTAAAAAAAGCTATAGAAAAACATATCGAAATAGCAGAAATCCAAATTCCTCTGTAATTAATAAGTTGGCTAAATCCAACTGAAATGTCAAAATAACCACCAGGATGTGTTTTACCAACCAAGAAATGTAATATAAACATTCCAACAATTACTGTAGATAAACCAAATAATCCTTCTAACCCTACAGCCAAAACTGGTTTAACACGATATTTTTCCATAATTTTTTCTTCTAAAACAAACTGCGCTGCAGTAAATAATTGTGCAAATACAACAAAGAAAACACCAACCATCGCTTCTATTGAATTATCATTTGTTTCAACGGGTAATTCAAGATCGGATATAGAATCAATTGGAGCTACAACTTTTACAGGTGGAAAGAGTACGTTACTCATGCCAACAATTGATACACCTAATACTACAAGGATCAATGAAAACCAGTGATATGGATACAAGCGTCGACGAAGAAACAATACAGAAAAAGTGCCAGTAAATAACACAACTGCACCACGTAACATTTGATAGACGGAGGCAGATGTATAAATAAGGCCAACATTCATAAACTATAAAAATAGAAATAGAATATGGTCAGATACTATTTATCTTGAATATTTACGCGCACTTTCCAAATAATACATACAGTAGTTCCCATAATATCACACATTGTAGGTAACCAGAACAAGAATACACTCCAACCAGATAATTCTTCCATAGGGCCACGATAGTGATCGTCAATCTTTATGGGTGGACTAACAGGTTCGCTTTCAACGATTGTTTCAGAATCGTTAGTAAGTGTGGTTTCGACTTCTAAGGGTTCATTGCTTTTTTTTTTTTGAGAGACTTCCCAGCGTAAAAGGACGTAAGCAACGACAAAACACATAGTTTCACCGACAAACATATTCAAAGTTTGCCACACAGGCTGTTCGAAATATTCACGTTTTGAAGGATCCCGACCGTCGCAGTGAGAAACACATTGCATGTCTTGAAATTTAGCCAGAAGTGTGTTACACACACCACTGATCAACATGCCAGTAACAAGAAACTGTGCTTTCACTACCATTGTAAGGGCTAAATTACTCAAGTTCGATCTTTAACTCAAAAATGGCCGATAATTATAGAAGTAACTTTATATTCTTTTGATTGGTTGACACACAATTGACATTGCATTAATACCAGTCAGCAGATCAGGGACAGTGATTTTGTGTTTCACATAATCACAGCCAACTACAAAAATCACCACAGAATTATAAAATATTGTAGGGTTGACTAATAAATTCAGGCCGGGAGCCGGGAACTCCCGGAAAGGTAGACACTAAATTAACGTAAATTACGAGCGTGTTCCTCGGGAGTTACTTATTAATCACCACAAAAACTGTACCGGTACAGAAATTGGTAAAAAGGCTTATCACATTAAATCACAGAATTTATCTTAACCACATACAGAATTTAGGCTTAACCACCACAGAAAATCACAGATGTCATGAATGCCACATGGCACAACAAATTTTACGTGAGACACTTGATTAGGGATAACTTTCTGCTGTACAATTCTTGAATATTTTGTACACTTAACCCAAAATTTCCAGATTCTGGATAAACTTGAATTTAATTTCTACTCAAGATCATCGATTAATACTCATTTTATTAAAGGAATGTAATTTCAAAAAATATCAATGAGACCTTAGAAAACGACAAATACAGTCGACTCTGGATATACCGAACCTGTTTATACCGAACTCGGGTTATAATTAACCAGATCTGGCAGAACCGGTTTTTATAAGAATTTAAACTGCCTATACATAGTGTTTGCAGAACCGAAGCGTAACCCGGAATCGAACCGGGAACCGGCCTATCGGGCCTATGTTTTTTAGAACCGACCGGTTCCAGTTCATACTGCGGGTACCCAGTGAACCCGCCTGATCTCTAACGAATAGAATTTTAAAGTGTTTATGATGCGGATAGAATTTAAAATGCTTATTATGTGAATAGGATTTTTTTTTTTAATTAAACAGGGCTTAGGGTTTTAGTAACAATAATTGGCTTCTATTTGCTATAGGCATGTTTGATATACAGTAATTTTAAGTACTATGTTTGTCTAGCTTGTAGTATTCTTTTTTCTTCTTCCTTAATATTAATTTTATAGCAGATTACAAAATATTTTTTATCTTTAGCCCAATTCAAACTGTTGTCGAAAGCTACAAAGAAGCCTTCTTTTATATATACTGTATATTAACCACATGGTATCTACAGTATATTAAATAGTTTATCTATAATTTTTTATTTTATATTAAATATTATACTTGCAATTCAGATTATAGGTATTGTTTATTTAAATTTCTATAATGCAATCTTATTTGTATCACTAGTATATCTTCTGTTATATTTGTTAATCAAAGAAGTTTTAGATTTTTTTAGGATTATCACTATACTGTATTACAGTATTAATATTTATTATATAACCTATTTAAGCACTACTTTTTGTTATACTTCTAGCAAATATAGTAATGCTGCTTTAAATACTACTATTACTACAATAACTGCTCTGGCTAATCCCTAATATTAGAAGAAAAAAGCTCTTCTTAAAGTTAATTTCTTTACTAATACCCTAATATTAGAAGAAAAAAGCTTTTCTTAAAGTTAATTTCTTTACTAATAATAGAAGCCAAGATCCTGTAAAATGTTTAGAAAAAGTTTGTGATTGTATAGAGAGTAATTATATAGAGGGTTGACTATACCAATTTAATTATATATAAAATATCTATTTTTCATTTAAGGGTAGGGTGAACGTAGATCATTTGTCATATAATCTCACGTGCTAAAATTTTTTTATACAAAAATTGAGCATA